GCTCAGGCATCTCAGGTCCAGAAGGGCCTTTTTCCAGGCACTTCTAGACTTCTGAACTGAACCAACAAAGGACTTTGGTACCTGGAGTCTCTCTCAGGTCCATACATGTTTTCTAGGGAGTTCACAAAAGCCAGGCTCTGGATTGGACTCAGAGATGATGGAGAGACAAGAGCCTGCTTTCCAGGAAACCACAGTCTAGGGGAATGGGGGCCTCAGCATAAACTAGAGGTAACAGTAGAGGAGTTGATCAACTGCAGAGGTTGGGGCAACATTAATGAGCAACTTCAAGATCAGAAGTCAGAAAATTCTGATTAGGGTTTCAAATGAAGGCACAGGAAGGAAGAAGAGTAGTGGCAAAAAGATGTGTATGGAAGAGGAACCGGCACAAGCAACAACCTGAAATTAGATATCTTGTTCTATCACTTGAAGGATGCCTACCCAGGGAGAGTGGCATTGTCGCAAAGCAGTGGAGAACGTGGTGCTTGATGTTCTAGGGCTGAACCATGACAGCAGCTGGTGCTGGGCTGTGGCAGGGTCAGCCTCACCCTAAACAAAAACACACTGGGCTCAAAGTCATCTGAAATAGAATTTGGTCTGGGGAGGTGGCAGGGGGAGTAGTAGTGTGTGTCGGAGTTCAAGGGTTTTCCTTGATCTGGTGATTAGGAAGTGTGGCTGTCAGCATTCCCCAGCACTTCTGAGCCACACCCAGCCCCTCCAGGGCCTCTGGGCTCCTCTGCTGGTCTGGGGCAGCACTGCAATCTGGGCCTCATGCCCAGGAGAGTGCAGCATTGGGGAACAGGAAAATGCTGGGTGTCAGTCCCACTTAGGACTATTCTAGGGCATGTGAGTGAGGAGGGTACAAGTAAGATAGAGGGCTCTAAAATGACTCACAGTTTCCTCCTCACTGTTTGAAGTTTTTTCAGGCATCTTATGGGTTTTTTTTTCCAGGATAGGCATCTTGGTGACTCCTGGTCTCAAGTAGCAGAGGTGTAGATCTGGGGACAAAGAAGGAGAGTCATTAATACAAGGAACCCTCCACTGCCCACAGCCTGACTTCTGCCCCATGCAGAGGTTAGAATTTGAAAACAGTATCTAGGGGTCACATTGAAGACATGGCTCTAATCTTTGATCTCATGCCTATTCCTGTGAGCACAATGACCTCCCTGAGCCCCCAAGTTGTAAAGAGTGGGTTCTGAAGTGAGCCTCCAACTAGGACTTACTCTATCAAGGTTGCAGCTACCAAAGGCCAAGTGATCACCCCAGGGCAGCATTGGAGGAAGCAGGGCTGGGTTTGCCTATTTCCAATCCATGAGAGGTCACTACTGAATTCTAGCTTTGCTCCTGCCTGGAATCCAATTGGTATGTGCTGTGTGAATTGAAATCTCTTTTTCTCATTAGATTTTGAGCTTCTCAAGAGCAAGACTATATCTGCTGTGCCCAGGGCTTCATCCTTGGTGCTTGGCCTGGGGTGTGGCATGGAGTAGGGGGAATGCTAGTCAGCTGAAGAAAAGAAATGCTTGTGTGAATTAACATGAGCATGAATGACTCCAAGGTCCTCTACGGCCTTTTGCTCTAGAAGGCATTCTGGGATGCTTGGGAGTGGCCTATGGCCAAGGCAGGAGGGACCTTAGGGCCTGCTGGAAAGGTTATGACTTAGGCTATCACTGGTCAGCAGGCTCCAAGGGTAGGTACCATAGGAATGTGGATGGAGATGATTTAGGAAACTGGATGACTAGGGTCCTTAAGAGCCACCTGACAACCTGGGGGTACACATTAATTTTGAAAGTAAAGTAGAAGTGGAGCCAGCTCAAGAGGGGCAAAGGCCAGTTTTTAAAGCTGTGGGGGTACAGTCTCTACCCCCTGCAATCCACTTAAACCTAATCTACAGAGGTATACAACCAGGATTTCCATTAAACCATCATCTATTTTTTTCCCAAGAGCCTGAGGCATATGTTTAACCCATTCTACTGCTTCTACCCCTAATCAGAGGCAAGCACAGACCTGGTGCTTGCATGTGGGTCAGTTGACCTTTGGAACACAGCATCCAGAAAGATGGATGCACTAAAGTCCAAGGTTGGAGGATCCTGGAACTGAATGGCCCTGCTGGCAGAAAGATGTAAAGTATTTGCAGGCAAGTGTAGGGCACTCCCAAACTAAGCCCAGAGATTGCAAAGACTGCCTAAGACTGTATGGCCAAAGTGGCAGTGTTCAGGTGAGAGTCCACCCTAGCACTATGCTGTTTTGAGGAGGCCATGAGGGCAAGGTCAAGTTTATAAAGTCCCTGCAGAAGGTGCAGCCAACGCTTTCTTCTTCCTTTGGTTCCCCAGAGGTGCCACATGGGTAACACTAGTCAGGCCTCATATTAGGAGCACAGACCTCAGCCATTGATTTCCTGGTGGTTTCCACCTGCCAGCTCTTCTTCTTCATGGGGCCAGCACCTACATATATATGAATATATGTCTTTCTATCTTTTTTGGTGCCCTCCCATCTGTATTCCTGCTGACCTGGTCGTGAAAGCCAGGGAAGGGATCTCTCCTCTGCTCTGTTGGTCCCACCCTACTCTGGTCGGGCATCACAGCGTCTCTGAGCTGCGACCCAGGTCAGAATTGCCACCTGCTGTCCCTCCTTTCACTTTTCTGCAAGGGTTTGAAGTCAGCTGGGTGCTCCCAGTACTTCAGGAAGCTCAGGTTGGGTCACGCGGACCCTCCCAGAGGCCACCGAAAGTATAGTCCTCTGCGGTTCTGGGTGAGATGAGAACACACTCGCGGAGTCCGGAGCCCTGATGGTGAAGCCCTTCCAAGCCCAGGCACCCAAGCTGCGTAATGCCGCAGCCTCCTGTGTGTTCCCCGACGGCTGTTCCTATCATGGGTAGACCTCCGAGGGTCCTGGAGCCTCTGGGCCCCGATGCCGTCGCTCCTTGGATAGTTCCTCCGAAGGGACAGCACCTCTGTACCCTGCCCTCCGCTTCCCCGGCTCCGCTTCCTGTGCCGCCCTCTGCCCGACCGGCCCAGCCCTTCTCACCTGCTCTCCTGGACTCTGTAGCCTCCGCTGCCGCAGCACCACCAAGCAGGACTGGGGGCGGAAACGTGAGCCAGAGGGATGGGGCTGGGGGAAGGCGCGTCAGCAGCGTAGAGGTGGGGGCTGCCACCTAAGCGGGTAGTGGAGCCTCCGACGTCGCCGGGTCCCCGCGGCAGCCCGACTGGCGGCTAGCGAGCCGCCGCGCCTCTCCTCTCCTTCCAGTTCCTCCTCCCTCCCCTTTCTCCTTTTCTCTCCCTCCCCTGGCCCCTCCCCCCGTCTCTCTTCCTCTCGGTCCTCTGGCTTCTGCAACCCATCCCCCGCGATCCCACCTCCCAGTCCCGGAACCTGCCTGGACGGCTTCCCTGATGATGTCTCGGACCAGCTGCGGGATTCAGACACAAGAACTGGGTGAAGAACGCTGGCCTGCCGGCGCCGGTCGCCCCCAAGCCCAGTCTTTCCCAATCTCCGCAATCCCCCAAGCCCCCCATCACTCACTGCTGTGTTTGCATAAGCAGAATTCGGTGTGTCGATCTGAAGGAAATGACTGTCCCCCTCCCCAGTGGCTAGGCCAGGCTCAAACCCTACATTATACCCCCTTTCAAAATAATAATAATGAATCAGCTTGTGGATCCCTGCAGGACATTCTTCCATTTGCCATCCCATCCTTTCTGGCACTTTGGGGTGGGAGGTGGAGTTGAGGAAATGCAGATTTGGGCCACCCTGGATGGCAGACCTGAGCTGCTTAGGACATTTGGCAAGAGGCACACATTCCTCCCAGACAACCCCTTTCCCATATAGATGCTCTCAGAAGAGTATATATAGAGTCACCACAAAGACAAACCCTGCTCACACCCACCTTGCCAGACTCAAAGACCAAGGCAGACATGCGCACACCAGCAGTACAAACACCCCCCCACACACACACACACACATAGATGACCCTAACCCAACTGCCTTTTCTCTCTGGAATGGAAGGACTTGCAGCAGTGGTTGTGGGTTCCGTGACAGGGAGAATCCGGCACACTTGACCCTGGGGCTCCCAGTATCAGGACTCAACAATGGGAAACTTCTCTTCCAGCTCCCGCACTCCCATCTTTTCCCTTCAGGACCCAAACCTGCTCTGCAGGGACACAGCAGAGGTGCTGACAACTGACAACTCCTTGTAGGATACAGTCTGCCTCTCTAACATACACATACTCCCTGAAAGATGGGGCCCATTTTCCTCCCTCTCTCCACAATAGCTCTATTCCTACTCCTTTCTGCAAGCCTGGATGGATCGGAATACTGGTAGGAAGGGAAGCCCAGCCTAGGATCCTAGGAGCTCTGGCCTGTTCCAGGAGTTGTCCTCAAGGGCTGGGTGGGGTACCCAGGCTTCCGCTGGTGCCCCCGGGGCCATCTGCTGAACTTGAATAGGAAGGGCTATCTCTGGCTGAGATGAATGTGTGCTCTACTGTGTATGTGGAGAAAAGTCCATGATGGGTTTGCTTCCTTTGTATCCCCTTTCCCAGGTAATAAAAGAACCACAGATTCTCACGCGGCTACCAAACTCAGGGCTGAACCTGGGGTTTGGAGTCCCAGATCACCCACCCTTCTCCCGGGCTTTGTGCCAATCTGCCCACCCTCACCAGTAAACAGACTCGGCCTCCTCGGACAGACATGGTTTATTAATTCGGCCGGAGGTGCCGCGGGGCAGCAGGCCAAGTTTGGCACTGGGAAAAACCAAAGGGAGTACAGACAAACGTTCTGCTCTACGCTAGGGAGCGCTGAGGTGGCCGCTCACACACCTCCATCTCTGCCAGGAGTGCAATCTCTTCTCATACCTTGGTGCTCCAGTCCCCATTGGATAAGAGAAAGGGGAATAGGGAATGGGTAGCGGAAAGGGGATTAGGACAAGGAAAGAAAAGACTGGAATGGAGCTGGGGAACTCGCTGGAGGAGGCGGGCCCCGAGCCCGAGTTGGCCAGTGTGCTCGCAGGGCACCTTGACTCAAAGGGGGTAGGCTGGGTGGCTTGGAAGAGGAGCGGGGCTGCTAGCTGTGTGTGTAGTAGTAGTTGTAGTCATCCTCGCACCGGTCAAAAGGGCCAGGCGGGCTGCAAGGCTCGCCATCCGGGCCCGGCACAGAACGCTCGCGTAGGCGCACCGCGTCGTACAGACCCTGCGGCGGCTCGTCGAGCAGCACATCCCGTTCCGACCGGGAGCGCGTCAGGAGGCCCACGTTACGCAGGAGCAACAGGACCGGCGCATAGAGCAGGTTGGCCAGGCCCATGCCAAGGCTGAGCTGCTCAAAGCCAAGCGAGTGTACAATATGGCCAGCTACTATGGGCCCGAGCGCGTAGGCCACGGAATAGGAGATGTCAGCGATGGCATAGACGCTGCCGTAGACTGAGACGTGGCGCACGTCCACGAGAAAGGCTAACGTGGGCAGCAGCGCGGTGTCCACTAGTGCAATGCCGAAGCAGAGGCCACAGAGGGAGACCACTAGCGGCGCGAAGGAGCGGCAGGCTGGCACAATGCACGAGCTGGCACCAATCACTGCCAGCCCCAGCGCACCATACAGCCACTGCAGGTGTGGATAGCGCGCTGCCAGGCGTACGGTGAGGTAGACACCTAGCACGTGGGGCACAAAGGCCGGCAACCAGGCCATTCCCATCTCCCACTCCGACGCCGCCATCGTGTTCTTCATCCACGTGGCGATAGTGGGCTCGAGGAAGGCTAGGGGAATGTTGCAAGTGGTCAGCGCGCCGGCTACCACAGCGATGTAAGGGTCCAGCATGAGGCGATGGATGGGCGTGCCCACTGGCAGGTTGGCTCGAGCGCGTGCAGCTGCAGAGAAGGGCTTGGCCACCGCCAACAGCAACAGCGCGTCGAAGAGTGACACGGCAGCAAGCACCAGAAAGGGCACGCGCTTTCCTGCGAACTCATAGAGGATGCCCCCGAAGGGCGGCGCCACTAGGCTTCCAAAACTGATGAACGCCAGCGCCACGCCCAGCGCTCGACTGCGCTCGGGCTCCTCAGGATACTTGTCCGCGATCATCGCAATGCCGGACGTGTCGGCGAAGGCTGAACCCAGGCCCTGCAGGCTGCGTGCTGCGAACAGCGTGGCGTAGTCCTCAGCGAAGGCGAACATAACTGTGGAGGCAAACATAACGCCCAAGCCAATAAGCAGCGGCACATCGTAGCTCATGCGGTCAATGAAGGGCCCGCTCAAGGGATTCACCAGCAACTGCAGTATGGCCTTGGAGGCAAACAGAACCCCAATTTTCACATCTTCACTTTCCGTGGGGTAGCGAGGCCGCAAGATCGATCGGGCAGGCCCGGCAGCCGTCGGGGACGAGGTGTTGGCAGTGTAGGCGCTAGCATTAGCCAGAGTGGGCGGCGGCAGGGTGGGCTCCCACCCCTCGGAGGTCAGGGTGGGGCTCTCGCTGCCCCCGCGCATGTGAGCGATGTAGTCGGGCACGATGGGTACGATGACCATGTACAGCATGTTGTCCAGTAACAGCGCCACGCACACGATGACCAGCACCAGGCGCCGCTGCCTCTGGGGCTCTTGCAGTGCCGCATCCACCGCTTCCGACAGCTTGGTGGCCGCTGCCCGGGCCTGGCCGGCCGGTGCCGCAGGTTCCATGCCCCCACCTAGCTGCTCCTCCGAGGACGCCTCCACCAGAGTTGGGCACCAGCGTCCCGCAGTGCAGAGACCAGGGCGCGGGACTTCGGGGGCGCGGTCCTCGCCGCGCAGCGCCCCCTGTGCCTCAGGTGGCTGTGGGGCTCATGCCCCCGGGTCCAGGGAAATGCAAAGACTCCGTCCGGCAAGGAGCCGCCTCCGCTTTGAGCAGATCCTGGGACCCGCCGCCAGTGGGCTCAGGTGCGGCTGCGAAGGCGGGTGCGCAGAGGGGTTGGGGCAGAGACTGGGAGTGCTACGCCTGGGGAGCGCAGCAAGCACTCCCTGCCGTGCCGAGGCCGCTCGCGCGGGCCGAGGGGCATGCTTCTGCCGCCCGCCGGTTCACTCGCCCTGCCGCCGCGTTCCCCTCCCTTCGCGTCGGCTCTTGCCTCCTCCTCCGCCTCCTCCTCTTTTTTTCCTTTCCACTCGGGGCTGTGACGCGGCGAGTCCCGGCCCCCGAGTGGTGCCCCGGCCACTTGCGTCGCTCATGCTAATGCAACGTCGGCGGGGCGGGGGCCAGGGGCGGGGCGCGGCCGGGCAGGGGTCTTCTCCCTCGGTGCGCCGGGGCTACAAGCCCCTGGAAGGGGTCTTAGTGCAGAATGGTCCTGCACAAACCCCTAGAGATGTGCGCACCCTGAGAGGAACGGGCCCTCTGTCTCTTCCAGTTCTAGGACCTACGGGGTCAGCCCCCGCTCTTCTCATGGGAAGAGGGGCGCGGCCGCCAGTTCCCCGCAGCCCAACGGGAGACGGGGCAACCCGGGGCTTGAGATCGCCACCTCAGAAGGATTTCGGCGCACAGCGGGCTGGGAGCCCCCGAGGTGAGCCGTGCTGCGTCCATCTGTTCTCGCAGCTGGAATGTGGAGCCGCTACCCGAGGGGCGCTGGGCACTGACCCCCAAGCCCTTTCTCTGGCCCCGCCCCCTGGCTCCTTCCACCCCCGCGGAAAGGGAGGGGGAGGCTCAGAGACTGCTGGGCCTGCTGTGGACTGACCAGCCCTTCTTCAGAATGTCACCGCAGCTAATTCCCGGCTATGAAACAAGTGGGGATTGAGGGGGAAAGTCGATCGCCCCCAGGCAGGGTTCGCTAATACAACCCTGTTCCTTGCAGTCTCCCGCACTGCCTTGGCACCCTCCTCCCTCCCGCTTGCCTGGACTCTCCCTTCTGCTCCCTCAGTGCGGGTCCCCCAGCTCCGCCTCTTCTCCCTTCTGTTCTCCTCACCCCCTCCCCACTCTTAACTCCTCCCAGGCCCTCGCCGCACCAGACCAAGCCCTCCCTCAGCTCCTGCGAGTCTCCGCCCACTTTTCTACATACCCTGATTCGGCTTCCCCCAATTCCAGAGCCGCTTCCCAGCCCCGGGTGGGCTCGTCAGTTATGTCGTCCTCTCTTGGAGCTGTAAGAAACTCCGCCTGGGAGCTGCGCCCACTCACTACGCAAGGCCCAGCAGCCTTGATGTCTTGAGAGATTCAAGGGAGGCTCACCTTTAGAGAGAGTTGCACACGCCGAGGTGCCCCATTCTCAGCTGATAGGCTGAGCTGTCTAGGAGTGTATGCTGGGCCTGATGCGTCCCCAGAAGAGCTTTGACCCTGGATGGCACGTAGAGCCTGTGTTCCCCTCCTCAGATTGGCAGGAGAGAAGCTCGAAGGCAGCTGAGGTTGGGAGATTGGTGTTGTTGAGATTACAATTTGTCTCTCTTCCAGAGTCTCCAACCTCATTCTTCTGGCCTCAAAAGCAAACTAGCATTTTATTAGATCCAGCTTCTCCCACTGTGACTCCCACCTTGCAGGAGGCATCGTGATGCAGTACAAAGAACGTGGTCTTTAGAGGCAGACAACTTAGGATGGCCAGATCTGCCACTTACTAGATAAGGGGACCTAGGAGGAATTATTTTGCCTCTGTCTGTTGGTTACTTTTTCTGTAAAATGGAACAATGGATTACCTACTGCTTAGTGTTCCTGGCTTAGTAAGAGCAATGTAAGTACTTGCTATTGTGATTATCATTGTAAAATGTGCTGTTTTATCCTCATGTCACAGTTGAGGGACATGTGAAGAGCAGATAAGACATGGAGGCACCCTGGCTAACTGGATGGGCCCTCTGGTTAGGTGGGCATTGTGATTTCAGGCTCTGTCTGGGCTGGTGGAGGGTGCAAAGGGAACTGGGAAGTTGGCTTCTGTCCCTGAGCTCTCTGTGAGATGAGGCAATGGAGACCAGAGTGTCAGTGTGAGAGGCAACAGCTTTGCCATCTATTGCCCAATCTTCCCAGGCATCCCAGGGAAGGAGGAGAAACTGCTTTACTTGTGGCATTGCTGGCACATGCTCTACAGAGAACCTCCCTTTTGTCTGGGGGAGGGAAAGAACCCTATTGTGGGGACAGCTCGGCTTTGACTTTCCTTGGGTGATTCATAATCCCTATCTGGGACTTAGCCTTGGCCTCTGTCTAGTAAGGGTTTAGGTGGGAGTCCACTCCTGCAGCCATCAAATGGAAATGTATGTTGTAGAAGGGCTCTTTTAGGGTAAGAGAATTATTTTAAATTTTATTTGAGAGTCTTTATTCATTACGTATAATTCTCCAGCGCATCCTAGTCTCACCCTTAGCTGACTTTTCACATTTTTGTCACTTGCCTGGGTCTAATCATTTAAGACTTCTGAGCTCTTTGGACACTCCCATTGAGGCTTTTAAAGGGGGCTGTCTTCCAACATGCAGTGATTGTTTATGCATATGTTACTTGCCCTGTGTGATTAAAAACAGGAGGCAGGAAAGAATTTGAGGCTTAAGTTTTCTGTCTTGTGGCTAAAAAACAATGGAATATTAGAGAAAATTTCCCAGTAACTTCAAGGTGAAGACCGTTTCTCCCAGCTCCCTAGCCCACATAATTCATAGCTATTTCTGAGCATGAAGCCAAGTTGTCTCTGGGATCATGCTTAACTCTCAGTCCTCCATTCCTATATGGCAAGAATTAGGCTCACTTATTAAGCACTTGTTCTGTGTCAGAGGCATTGTGTGTTCAGTTTTACTTCGTTCTTTCTCAATCCTGGTGCAGTATAAATGCTATCCCCCTTGTCTTACTGGTTGAGGAAACTGGGCATAGAAGACCTGGATCTTAGCTCAAGATCCGTGTAACAGATCCTGGCTTTAAACCCAGACTGTGGAACCTGCCTTGTGGTCCTAATGCTGAGTCTTGTTATGCTGCAGCTGCTTTACCCACACCTGGTGACTTAAGCAGATGAAGACCCAGGAGAAAAGGAAGGTAATGGGCAGGTTCCTTCAGCAGGCCCCAGGGACACTAAACTTCATTCCTCAACTTCCAGATCTGAAATCACCCCATCCCTTCTTCAATTAGCACCAAGGACTGGGTACAGGGGTTAGAGGTAGGCAATGGCCTTCTTCAGCAAAAGGTCTTAGGGAGAAGGATCCCCTGATCTGGGACCAGCTGTGAGAACAATCCTCTTTCCCTGCTGAGGATGTCTGGAGCTGTCCATGGTGCTGGCCCTAGCGCTGTCACTTGCTAAACAGTCTCCAAGGGCCCAACTATCTTCCTGTGCCTGTGACTTCCCTTCCTTGAACTCTTGGTAAGTTTTTTCCCCAAGATTCCTCTTTCTAAGCATAACTTATAGGTGAAAGGAAGCTTCCCATCCAATCCTGGGAAAATGGAAGCTTTTTTTTTTTTTAACCACATATAGCCATTGTTACCGCAGGGTACATCTGTAGCACTAAGTTTCAGTTGAATGAGTAAAGGAAGAAATTAATTTATTAAACACATAGAAGTACTTATGATGTGCCAGGCACTATTAAAAGCATTTTACAAATATTAACTCATTTAATGCTCTCACCAACATTTGTATTACCTTTTTATGGTCAAGGACACTGAGGTGAAGTAATTTATCCACAGAGAACTCACAAGCAGTGGGGACTTATTCAAATACAAGGGATCTAGCTTCAGTGTCCATCTTCTAGTCACCATGATATTCTGATGCAAGACAGCTGAGAATGAGAGGACTTACTTGACAAGATATACCCAAATGCTTGAATCTTAGTAGGAACTTTATTATTCTTTGTGGCTAGAGATAGTTTGGTGATTTGGGCTTGACAACATTCTTTTCATTTTATCCAGTGGACACAGCTGTGGCCTCAGCCTGATAGAACAAAGTCTGTCTCCTGCTGTACTAGTGCCATGGGGAGCTGATTGGGGACTGGGGATTCCTGGTGTATGGGAATTTGGGGAGGGAGGGAAGGACAGCCATCCTGCACCATGCCTGGGTGAGGTCTGCTATGTATATGGGGGGCTCTCGAGTGGGTTGCAAGGTTGTGGTAGCTTTAATGGAGCGAGCTACCAGTCCAGCCTGGCCTCATTTCTGAGGAGGACATAGGGACACATCAATTCTGGGATTTTTGTCATTTATTACCTCACTAAGACATGGGTCCCTGAGAAGTGAAATGACTGTGTTTTCATGAGGAAGCAGGCTGGTGTGGTGGTGGCAGCATGTGGGCGGGGTGCCTGCTCCTGATTTATTATTTCTTTGTCTCCCTGGAAGCACTTAAGTACAGGCTTAGTTCCAATGAAGCTCATGAGCCTCTTTGGATTCCGACACAGGGGTGAGGGGTATAGTTTGCCCAGGCCTAGCTACATCTCCCCTATATGCTGCCTTGGGAGGGCCCCAGGGCTTCAACATCACCTAATTAATTTAGGCTTCCACAGCCATGTATTTTCAGATTCAAAGGAACATAGTGGCCTGTGTCAGCTGTTCCCGGAAAACTGTGAGTCGGGTGGCTGGAAGCCAGAGCGCTACGTGCCTGCCTGGCTGCCCTTGGCTAGTCCATCCCAGGGCCCAGAAGTGCCTTGTGCACAACATAGAAAGGGACTGTGGCTTCTGCAATGTAGGTGAACCTCAAAGCCTACCTGCTTTCCTTCTGACTCTCAGATAGTTCACATGAACCATTGATTCAAAGCAAAGCCTCAAAAATCCCTCTGGTTTCTGCTCCCACACTTATTTCCATTCCAATCCAATGAGTCTTTCAGATTGATCTCTCTCCTCCATTGAGGCAGACTCCTGCCTGCTGTCAGCTCAGACTCTACATCTCCTCTTAACACTATATACCTCCCTACACTATACCTCCCTACACCCCTGCCTCCTCACTCAGTCAACCCACTCCTGCATGGACACCAACTGTTTCTCTGTAAAGTTCTAGGCAAGCTTCCAGGCTCACAGACCCTGCATAGCCCCCTTGCTTCCTGGGACTGCTGCCCAGCTTCTTCCCTGAGCATTGTAGCCTTCCAAAATGCCTCTTTCCT